AATGGTCTGTAGTTATCGAAAGACTTGGAAATAAATTGATTAAGAGCTGCTAACATCCCAACCAATTTCTGGATATCCTTGATGGTCCTAGGTGCTCGGACATTCTGGATCGCTTGTATCTTCTCGGGGTTCACCTCGATTCCCCGCTGAGTAACCAAATACCCCAAAAACTTTCCTGAGCTCACCCTAAAAGTATATTTCGAGGCGTTTAGTTTTAGGCCATACTTCCGGAGGATGGTGAATGTTGTCTCGAGATTATAAAGATGGTCGGCACTCTCTTTACTTTTGACCAGCATGTCATCAATGTACACCTCCATAGTTTCGCTGCGCTGGTTTTTAAAAATTTTATTCATCAAATGTTGGTAAGTTGCCCCAGCATTCTTCAACTCAAAAGGCATAACCGTGTAATAGTAGATCCCCCAGGGCGCAAAAAACGCCGTTTTCTCCTGATCTGATTCATGTAAGAAAATCTAGTGATATCCCGCTCGAGCATACATAAAGGTGATTCGCTTGTGGCCGGCTGTTGCGTCTACTAGTTGATCAACCTTGGGCTAGGGGTACTCATCCTTGGGGCAGGCTTTGTTTAGGTTCGTGAAATTCACGCAAATTCGCCATTTCCCCTCTTTCTTCTTGGCGCACATAGTGTTGGATAACCACTGAGGGAACTGTACATCCTTGATGGAACCTGCCCCCAGCAACTTATCCACCTCTTCGTCCACAGCCTTCGCATGATAAGGCGTCGTTATTCGGGCCTTCTGCCTAACGGGTTTGAAAAAAGGATTCACATGGAGTTGATGAGTCATCACCTCAACACTTATCCCCATCATTTTAGCGTGGGTCCATGCAAAGACATCGACATTGCGGCGTAGGAATGAGGCCATATCATTTTTTTTGCGTCGCTGAGTGACTCCCCTATCAAAAAGTACTTCTCATCGATATTTGGGCTCAGGAGGATCTTATCCAGGGCCTCCGTAGACCGGTCAGCTGGTTCTATAATGGGCTCGTCCATTCTCGGTCAACTGCTCTGTGATTGTTATTTGGCAACCACCGCATCGGGATCACGTTCCTGACTTCGGCCGCTAACTCCAATTTTCACCGCGGCATAGAAATAGCTTTTCGCCGGTGCCTGATCACCCCGGACTTTCATTATGTCCTGCGGTGTTGGGAACTTTATCTTTTTATGATAGGACGAGTAGATCGCTTTTATTGCATGCAACCACGATCTCCTCATAATAGCGTTGTACGGGGAGTCGGAGTCTACTACCATAAACTCCATTGGGGTGGTCACCACCCCTGCATGTACCATGAGGGTGATTTTTCCAAGAGACAGGGGCGCTGGAACCATTGAAACCGATGGGGGGTCTTTACAGGTTCCAGATCCCCCATGCGAGAATCCCATTTTGCGGAAGAGGTGATTATACATCACCTCGGAAGAACTGCCTGAATCTACCAAGATCCTTTTGACATCGAACTTCTCGACCTGCAAAGTGATCACCAATATATCTTCGCGGGGAAAGACCACCCCGCCAAGGTTCGCGTTGAAAAACTAGATAACCTCGGCACCACTTCGCGGCTTCTTGGGCAGCTGCTCCTCACCCCTTTCTTCCACCCTAACTGCATGAGAGACTTTTTGTAACTCGACATAAAGGGAGTTGTACATAGGCCTCTCCATGGTGCATGCAGGAATAACATCAATTACGGGCGCCACCTCAACTGACACCTCGGCTCGCTCCCTCGCCGATCTTTCAGGATGACCCTTATCGATGAACTCCCCGAGGTGTCCGTCTTGCACCAATTGTTCAAGGAAGGATTTATAAACCTTGCAATCCCCCATCAATCTCCTACATCTTTATGATACAAACAACGGAAGACCACATTCCTTGACGATGGGTCTCCTATCATTCTTGGGGGCTACTTAAAGTAGGGTTTGTTTTTAATCTTGGGAAGTATCCTGTAAATGGGCTCTTTGAAGACCGTGTTCATCCCCAAGAAGACAGACGAGTAGGGGGTGGAACAGGCCGTCCCCTTTGGGCCAGCTGCTCCCTCTCTCTTTTTATCGGCACCGGGACCCTGCTCTCGGGCGCGTTGGATTCTTTCTCCACTCGGGCATATTTTTTAATTTGACCCATCAAGTCTTTCATGTCCGTCGAAACCTTCTTAGTCAGTGATTTGTACAAATCAGTGTCCCAGGACAACCCTAGCCTAAATGACACCGCAGCCAATGCCTTCACCTTGTTGACTTCATCCCAATACCGGACGGCATATTGTTGAAGTGTCTCTCATCTTTTCCGCCTAAGCGTCAACAAAGCGTCGATGTCCTTCGATTTCTTAGTGCTGGTGATGAATCGAGCTATGAAGAGCTCCATTAATTATTTTCAAGACCTAACGCTCTCAGGAGCCAGGTTCTCATACCATCTCATGCCTATGTCCCCTAGGCTCACGGAAAAAACTTGGCACAACACCCTTTGATCAGTATCATAGATTGACATCAATTGTTTGTATTACCACAGGTGACTCTTGAGATCAGTCTTCCCATCGTAGATTTTGAACTGTCGGACGGTAAACTTCTTCGGCATTTTGGCCTCCTTGATAGTCCGAATGAACGATAAAATAACTTCGTCGGCATACACCTTGGGCTCATGGGTGCGATCCTTTTTTGATCTTTCTTCTCAAGGCCTCCAAGGTGTGGACTTCGCTTGTGATTCGGTGGCTCCGACGTCCTTAGGTATCCGTCGGTGGAGGTCCCACCGAAACAGGCTTACCTTTGGGCCCGATTCTGAATTCTCCTTGGAGGCCGAGAATGCACCTTGGCTATTACGCCATGGTCCCCGAACCCGTGACTATGCCCACCCGCGCTTACTGATTGCTCAAAATTGTCAAGATGCTGTTGGACCTCGACGTTTTCCTTCTCAAGCTACTTAATGCGTTTACCCATGCGCTTTTCCACCATCTCAACGATATCACGGGCCATGAGGTCATGCCCCCCAAGGCCCTAATCCATAGGGAGCGTTCGTTGCAAAGAATGCTCCACTCCACCTGATTAGCCCAATGGACTCGGTTCTAGAACCATTAGAATCCGAACAGACTCTGCGTTTCTTACACGCATACTTACTCCTTCACCTTGAGATTGAGTGGTCACTATCAGACGATCGCTACCGGGAAAGATGCCCTCGTTTCTCACAGACGACGCCAAATTGCACAAGATAATTCCTACAATAGTTTGAGACAGTGATCTCCAAGCTGGCGAACTTGAAACAACAAGGTCAGAAAAAGGGGGTCAGATGAACACCCGGCTTATCCCCTCCGAAGCTCAAGTCAATCTACGGTCGAAAGGGTTTCGCTCAATGAACAATCTTTTTCTGGTTCAAGTTTGCGTACCTTTGTCTATTTTTCTGAGGAGTATTTATACCTGAGTTAACAATGATTGCCAAAGACTTTCAGTCCCATCTAGATATCTAACATCTGACACACCATTCCTCATGCAATGAGTGTTTTCTACTCACGTCTCCTCCTATTAAATGCTAGGACGATGGGATAAGTGCTCGGTTAAATGCTGAGCATATATGCCCCTCCCTCGAGTACCCAAATCCCTCAGATCGGCATCTGACATCAACTGAGCATTGAATACTCGAAAAAACAGTTCCTCGGGGGGAGTCGATTGCATCATCTCGGCGCATCAGCCATTAATGTTTAACCATCATGATAGTAGGCCTAGACTCCTAGAGTGCAGGTGCTTGCAGCGCGCATTTATTTGCCTTGTCACTATCACTCATTCCGCCATAAATGAGGGGTTACATCGTATTAAATACGATGTCACTTGTCGTACTCGGCTGGTTCGGATCACCATACCTTTGCTTATCTTCTCGGCACACTTTGAATATCCCAACGACTTCTTTATTCCACGTGTCAACCTGGGGACTGTAAAGTCACCTAGAGTCCTGCCAATAATAATAAATATGTTAAAAAATTATTTATAAAAATAACATGATTAATGTACACGAGACCAAACAAATACAAATTATCCAACATGTATCCAATGCATCGAATTTTCAAGACAATTCACAAAGCTAGGTAGAGCCATAAAAGAAAAAATTAATTTCTAAAAAACACAGATCTACCTCATTATATATACATGAGAATCAAAGACATAGTCAATCGGTTGCATAATACCAAAAAAGAAAAAAGAAAAAAGAAAAAGATGTGCCACGTGATAAAAATAACACATCTGTCCACCTAAGAAACCCCTAACCCCCACTGGCTCACCCCACCCCCCACCCACCATGCTGTAAACTTGCGTACTTCCATCTAACTATGGCTTGAAATTGGAGAAGAAATCTTTATAGCTGCTATTTTTATCATGTGGATGATCAGTGAGGGGTGAAACTCATGAGAAAAATGGAGTTAGAGACTTGAGAATGCAAAGAAGAGAGAACGAGATGATCCCAAACCTAAGTTAGTCGAAGATGATGGTGTTGTGACTATTGCTTCTTGTGATGATCGAGACTTCAAAAGAAGGAGATGAGTGACGCGAGGGCTGCTATACGAGGTAGATCTAATCAGCGAATTAGGGCAAAAATGGCCAAATAGCCAAAAAAATTCTAATTTTATATCCTTTTAATTGAATCGGCCGAATAAATAAAAATCGTCTGATTCAAGCGAGTAAGCCAAAATCGCCCGATTTAATGAGTTTTGTCCGGATTTAATTCTCAGTCTAAATACTAGAAGGACCAAGATTAGGATCCGAGTCACCAGGTTTCTGGGTCAACTCGCCGGGCCAGTCGGGTTTTAAAACACTGATTGGGCGTGACAAGTTCTAACGGAACTTGATTGACCAGAGGGTAATTATAAAAAAAAAAAGCCTAGAATATCATAAAATTATTATTATTTCCATTTAGGCTCAAGAAGTTTACAGGAGCAGCTGTAACTAACAACTGTACAAATATTTACATCCGAGGACTACATCTTTCAAACAATTCCACTTTTGTCCAATCCTCGTCGTCCTATCGCAAGTCAACTCGATCCACTTCTTCCCGGCGGCGACTTTTCACCACCTCAAAAGACTCTTCCAAGCTTCACCATAAAGAATCTCGGTCAACTTGCCGGAACCTTACGTTTCTGGCAAGTCTGCACAGTACCTGATCAGCTCGGACCCCAGCAACTCAAATACATGACTTGCCGGAGCGACTCGTCGGCTTGCTTTACCCTCTGCTCTCCGTTATTGTTCACACGAAACCCATCCATACCCGACCCCAACATGGACGATAACGGCCGGAGATCTGCCGTATCTCCGCCGGTTCCGGCGGTGGACGAAGAGAAGCGTTTCTTGTTGTGTTGGAGGGACTTGAGACCGGACTTCCACTTAAGCCCCTGGTCAGTGTGGCCGTTCACGACGGCGAAACCGGTGGCCATCCAAACACGGTTTAAATAACTCATATTAAGTTCTTCACTTTTTTTCTTGCTCCGTAATTGTGATTCGGTTGTGTTGGAAGCGAAGGGGGAGAGGTTTGTATTTATAGAGAGAAAAAACAGGCGGTTTTGTGAAACCGGAAACCGGAAACTGGATTGGAGGAGATTGGGACCAGTTAATAGCCGGCGGGCCAGAGAAGGGGAGGTTTTAGACATTTTAGTACTTATTCATTTTGTACGAATTGGAGTTTATCGTTATTATCTCGCGAGTAGATAATATGGCTTATATATAGATGTTAATGGATGATCTAAATTATCCACCGACTGTCGTTCCCGGGGCGTTGACCCTATCATACGGATAAGAAATATGTTTTTTCGTCTTTTTATCCGATATTTTACGAAAGAGTTTTTTCTTGACCTACTCTACCCGACAGGTGGGGTAGAAAATCGGATAAATATTTTGTAATAATTAATTTTTGGATCATTTTAACAATTTAATTAAATAATATGCATCAATTTAACAACCCAATAAATCAATTAACACTAAAATCTAAAACAACTATAACAAGAATTATAATAAAACACAAGAAAGTATGAACATCAATCCACCATAATTGTTACACAAATACAATAACAATTAATTTAAGTTTAAACTTTAAACCATATGAAATCCATTAAAATCATAATTGCTTCGCCTGTGGTTAAGATTTAGGGTTTTTTTAGAATATATATATATATATATATATATATATATATATATTAAAAAATTATTGCTAGTAGGGTGGGGTAGGAATGCGAAAATGGATGGTTATTCTGCATTTCTACCCGAAAATTGTCGAAAGACCAAAAACTCTTCTGCATTCCTACCCGATTTTTGCGGCTAGCCGTTCAGTAGAGTAGAATAGAGTAGAGTCGGGGTAGGGTAGGAATTTGCAGCTGATCGAAAATTTGAACACCCCTAATCATTCTCACTGTTAAACTTTAAGATTAAGAGTTGAAACATCGTTATCTTACTCTCTTATAATAACATCTTACCAAAGAAATTAAAATATATAGTTTATAAAATTGCATTCTACAAATTTATCTTAATAAACTCTCCCATCTCTCCCCCCCCCCCCCTTAACATTAAATAATTTTTATTTATTTAAATTATAAATTTTTATAATTATCCAATTTCCCAAGAGGTTAATAAAAGAGAGAGAAAAAGAATAAAAGATAAAAATATATCATAATATAAATCATGTACGTTGCACAGGGTTCAGTTCAGTAACTGTATATTAAAATTTTTTGTTGTTATAGAAAAGATTTAAGTTGTAATTTAATAAATGAAAACTGTTAATTGTTTTTAATAATCTAGAACTATTTTAATTAAGCATATTTTTACGTATTGGCTAAAATAAGAATTCAACTATACATAATTATCTATAAACTATGTGTATTGTCTTTGAATAGTTCAAATTTATGCAACCGGACTCCATTAAAAAACATATTTTTAGAACTTTTAATTACGATCAACAATAAGACATGTCATGTTAAATTTATATTTTATTTAAGTCATATTATATTAAATATAACTTGATGAAACCAGAAGAAAATGTCAATGCAGATAAGAGATAGGTCAAGATAACCATCTTGGTCATCACGTACCGAAATGTCTTGGAATAGTCCAAGTCAAAAATAGGTGAACATGAACTACCAGGAGGGGATTTTTTTTTTTTTTTACCCTGCAAACTTTATTTTGAGTATCGTCACTTTTAAAAGACCACGTCATCTCTTTTAAAAATTCACGTTCTATCTTAACAAAAAAGAATCTAATAACTAAATATTCTTTGACATTTCTCTTATAAACACAATAATTACTGTGTATAAAAGATAAGACAATACAGCGCACTAATTAAAACGATAAAAAATCTTATTATACTCGTCTTATTCCTTATGCATACAACAGACTAGAAGCAAAAGTCTGCCTCACAGTGGACTGGTCTACAACAGGACTATCTACTCTAATCCTAACATTTTTACTTATTTTAATTTACAGCCCACCCTCATCGTGTTTCTCTATATATTATCATGATCGTAAGGGATTAAATCTGCATCGGGATATCCTCCTCTTATCGAAGGATTCTGACTGACCTAGACCTATTCCTAGAATAATCCAATAACCTTTACCTCTCAGTGCCCATGAAAAGCTCGTCCCACATCGACTGAGAGTCGTTTCACCCCCTCGCATATAAGCCTACTCTTTATATGGAGGAGGTATCCACTAGCACTTGATCAAGTGGCTAGTTGCCCTAGTAATGGGTCCAGGTTAGTCAGAATTCTTCAGTGGGGGGAGGATATCCCGGTGCGGATTTAATCCCTTACAAAAAGGCGCCTTTTTGTGGATAAGATTCCCTCCCTCCGAAAGGATTTTGTCTGACCTGCGCGCGTTCAATAGTAGCCTTTCACCTCTCTTCACCAGCTGGAAGCTTGTCCCACATCGGAAGAAAGTCGTCTCTCCCCTGCCATATAAATCTTCCTTGGTACCTCCTCCATAGAAAAGGAAGACTTATATGGCAAGGGGGAGACGACTTTCTTTCGATGTAGGACGTGCTCTCAGGTGGCAAAGAGAGGGAAACACTTATATGGCATGGGGAAGACGACTCTCTTTCGATGTGAGACGTGCTCTCAGCTAGCAAAGAGAGGTGAAAGCCTACTGTCAAGGCTTGTATGGAAGGGGAGGAGACGATTCTCCGTCAAAATGGGACAAAGGTGCCCACGGAGACCGAGAGATAAAAGTTACTGGGACAAGCGTGCCCAAATCAGCCAAAATTCTTGTGAAAGGGGAGGATATCTCGAACACGCGGATAAATCTCTTACAATAACTTATATACAATAATTCAACATCGAGCCGTTATTCTTTAAACGTAGCGCAGCTGATCCCAAATTATATAATGTCAATACCATATTTGAATTAAATGATTATGTTAAAAAGTAATTTGATATCTATCAAACTTTTTTTTTAAATCATACCCTGTCCTGTACATCTCAAAATATCGCGATAATTCTTGTAAATAAATTAGTGTAGCAGGCCAAGGGGACATCTGGAAGCTTATCCGAATGTGGACTTGGGGGACTCGTCTCCATTGGGATTTGGGACCAATGGACAGCCAGCAGGTTTCTCAGTCCCCTCAAAAGTACTGTTTCAACTGGGTCCCACAACTAAATTATTCCTCTATGTGGGTCCCGTAACGATATTATTTTCTGTGTGGGTCACCCCCACTGTATTCTCAAATGCAAACGGACAAAGGTGGACACGTAGTGGCTGTCTTAATCGGGCCCCACAAGCATGATGGGTGGCCTATGGGTTGTCACGTAAAAACACTGGACTGAAGTCCTTTCTTTTTCTTTTTTGCATTTCAAAATACTTATAACACTCTCCAATAATATATACCAAAAATATCACATTATTGACAAGTAATATCACTAATTAATTATAAAAATATCATTTAAAATTAATAAATCTCATTATTTCAATATCTACTAATATCCATTAATTTTCATATTAGGAGTGTATAATTCACTTATATTCTGATGGTATTACAAAATACTTAAGGATGAGTTCAATAACTCAAGTCATGCTTTTCATATCGATAGTTTAACTCATCAATATTATTTATAGACCTTGACCTTAGATCTCAACTCTTCGTGTCCACATCTCGAGTAAGACTGTACAAAAGACAATTAGACCCCACCGAGTCCCTCTTTTGTGGAATCAATCACCCAACATGCATAAGTCTTATTGTGCAATAAGGACAACCGTTACAAGGGATGAGCGATGATCTCGCTTCAGATCAAACAAGATCTAGAAATAGCTATAAATAAAAGGCAAAACCTTCGAAAGTAAAAAACAAGTTATTGTAACCTTACAAAAACATTATCTATAAACTTTACACAACAATCAATATATTCAAGAGTAAGAGACTCATTTGTGAGTGGATTAACCAAATTCTTGAGCTGATAAACCACTATAAACACTCTGTGTAATCACTTACGTATCTTCAAATCCTATTCTTTAGAGCTTTGAATATCAGACTAAACTGAATCTAACTGTTCAGTACACTTTATATTCACATAACTGTTTAATTGTGTAAAAGCGCCCCAAGGTAAAAGCGGGGCTTTGACAAAATTTTTATATGAGACCCTATTAGTATTTTGTCTATTAATATATTTTATTTTTAATTATTATATATTTTTTATGTTTTTAAAAATTATTTTTTATTTTAAAAAAATTTAAAATATTGATCAAGTTTTTATACGCAAGTTTTGACAATTTTTTTTTTAATAGATAATATTGTTAATTCATTCACTCTTAATTGTTTGTAAATAAAATTTTATCAATTTAAGTTTTCAATAAGTAATTTACTAATAGAATAGTGAGCAAAGAATAATTTTAAGATAACAAATAATCATTTTTTATCCATGAATAATGTGCACGCATGAAGTACAAAACTTTAATTTAAGTATAAATTATTTGGATTGAAAATTTATATTAAGACAAAAAAAGAATCAATTTTATAGATTTTTACCACAAGAAATAATGAATATAAATTTTCTGTCTGAGTGCGTGAAATACAACTATGAACACACCCAAAATATTTAGAAAATTTTAAATCAAAGCTCATACGAAGGAGTAATTTTATACCCAAAAAAAATTAGATATTGATTTAAACTATTAAAATTTGAATCCTAAAAATTTGAATCATATTTAAAATACAAAAAAAAAAAAAAGATTATTATACTAAAGTGGTAAACTATGGAGGCCTCAAAAATTTGGAGTTAAATAAGTAGAAAGTAATTTTGGACTAAATAAAATTAGATACTGATTTGAATTAATAAAATTTGAGCCCTAAAATTTTAATCGCATCTAAAATATAAAATAAAAAATAAAAATTTAGGCCTACTATACTAAAATGATAAATATTATGGGGTACTCTAAAGTTTGGAGCCCTTGGCAAGAAACTTAGCTGCCTAAGAGTTGGGTCGGCCCTGAATCGTGTTAAGAATATCATCATATTCTATATATGATATTTTATTAGTAGTTTCGATTTAATCAACAATGCTTAATATAAAGTTTAGTCCCCCCGTAGTTAATTAAGTTTCTCGCTTTTTGTGATTGTCTTAAAATTTTTTTTGGACCAAATGCACTGTACTGCTCTGTGTACATTGCATCTCAT